ATCAGCAGGCAGACTCTCAACCATTGCACCACCAGGGAAGCCCCTCTTTGGCTTTTTGAATGTAATCTCAGACCAATATTTTGGCTAGAGCAAGGTCTAATGAACTGGGCTTCAAATAATCTGGAGAATTTTAGAGTTTCAGAAGAAGCACTTAAAGCAGGAAGGATATTTTTCTGGGATTGTAGATTACACCTTTTGAATTATAAGGATTTTGTTAAAGGGCAGTTTGAATGGGGAAAAGAAGACAGTGGGAGGGAGAATTTGAGGACACTGCCCCTCAGGGAAAACAGCAGAAAGACTTGGTAAACTTGTTTCTGCTTTTCCTCTGGGAAATTGAATGGGGGGGTTGAGCAGGACATATATACTCTTTGCCCATGAAGGCCTACCTTTCTAAACTTGAAGTTATAGTAAAGATAGAGCAAAAGAAGTAAACAAGTGCCTGCTGGTTTCACATTGGTAATTTGCATCTCTGGTGTTGAGCAGCTTTGCTTTCCACTTCCCCTTAGGGTCATTCTTCTCAAACTGGAATTGCTATTCAAGAGAGAGGGCCTGAGATACAAGATACAGGATAAGCATGGTATATAGTTCCATGGCATGCCAAATTTACTTACAGATTTTGGAATAAATATTTTTATGTCAAATATACATATATTAAATGTGTATTAAATGGGATAAAATAAAAGGTCATATGAAAGTATTTTTATATAAAGCTTTTACTAAAGTAAATGTTAATACAGAAAAGTGTGTAAATCATAAATGCAGAGTTTAATGAATGCCATGAAAACAGCAAACCAGGTAACCACTACTCATTTGTTTTGTCTGATTTTAACATACTTTCTTTTTATAAGTGTTTGGATGACGTATCTCTTTCCATCCTTTTATCTTAACTTTCTGAATATATTTGATGTATGTCTCTTGTAAGCAGCGTATACTTGGGTTTATTTTTTCTCTAGTCTGGCTGGTAATCTGTATCTTTTAAATCAAATTTTTAGTCTTTTTATAGTTAATGCTATTGCGGATAAATTTGTATTTAGTTAATCATATAACTTTGTTTCCTGTTTGTCCCACGTATTTTTTTATCCATTTCTCCCTTTTTTCTGCCTTGAAAATACTTGTATTATTTTATCATTTAATTTTTTCTATTAGAGTTTTACTTATATATTTTTACCTTTTTAATGATTACATCAGCGATTATAGTATACATTCCTAGTGTCTTTTTTAAAATTTAATTAATTAATTTATTTTATTTTTGGCTGCTTTGGGTCTTTGCTGCTGCGCACGGGCTTTCTCTAGTTGCAGCGAGCAGGAGCTACTCTTCGTTGCGATGCGCAGGTTTCTCATTGCAGTAGCTTCTCTTGTTGTGGAGCACGGGCTCTAGGTGCACAGGCTCAGTAGTTGTGGCACACGGGCTTAGTTGCTCCACGGCATGTGGGACCTTCCCAGACCGGGGCTCGAACCTGTGTCCCCTGCATTGGCAGGAGGATTCTTAACCACTGTGCCACCAGGGAAGCCCTCCTAGTGTCTTAAAGTCTGATATTAGTATTTTTACACAAAAAAATGATTTTAGAACACTTAAACTCTTTGTATCCTTCTCATACTTTTTGTGCCAGTTTTGTCATTTATTTTAATGATAATAGTAATAATACCTTGTGGGAACTTCTTAATGTTTTATGTATCCTGTGTTCATTTGTATTTATTTATATACATAAGCTTTTTATAGCTCACCCTTCCTTTTTACATCTCTGAATTTTCATGGAATTCTTTTCCTTCTGCCTGAAGAACTTGTTTTAGTATTTTTTTTAATTTATTTATTTATTTATGACTGCATTGGGTCTTCTTGGCTGTGCACGGGCTTTCTCTAGTTGCGGCGAGCAGGGGCTACTCTTCGTTGCAGTGCGCGGGCTTCTCATTGCAGTGGCTTTTCTTGTTGTGGAGCATGGGCTCTAGGTGCGCAGGTTTCAGTAGTTTTGGCACACAGACTCAGTAGTTGTGGCTCACAGGCTCTAGAGCACAGGCTCAGTAGTTGTGGCACACGGGCTTAAGTTGCTCCGCGGCATGTGGGATCTTCCCAGACCAGGGCTCAAATCTGTGTCCCCTGCATTGGCAGGTGGATTCTTAACCACTGCACCACCAGAGAAGTCCCTCCTTTTAGTATTTCTTTTAGAGTAGACCTGCTTATTATGAATTCATTCAGATTTTGTTTTTTGAAAAATTTTTTTCAGATTTATTTTTGAATGCAATTTTTGCTGGATATAGAATGCTTTCTTTGTCTTTGGTTTTTGGCAGTTTCACTGTAGTGTTTCTTGGTATCATTTTCTTTTCTTTCTTTTTTTTTTTTTAGTTTTTAAATTTTTTTGTGTTTCATAGAGCCTCCTGAATCGATAGTTGGTAGTCTTTTGTCAGTTTTGGAAAATGTTCGGTCATTATTTCTTCACATACTGGTTCTCCTCAATCATATGTCTCTTTTTCTTCAAAGATTCCAATTAACACATATGTTAGACCTTTTCACTCTATTCCTTATGTTTCTTTCGCTCAATTTTTTATTTACCATCCTTATGTCTTTTTGTACTTCATTCTGTGTAATTTCTTCTGACCTGGCTTTCAGTTTATTAATTTTCCTCTTCACCTATGTCTATTCTATACCCTATATCTTTTTTTTTTTTTTTTTTGTGGTATGCAGGCCTCTCACCGTTGTGGCCTCTGCCATTGCGGAGCACAGGCTCCGGACGCGCAGGCTCAGCGGCCATGGCTCACGGGCCCAGCCGCTCCGCGGCATGTGGGATCCTCCCAGACTGGGGCATGAACCCATGTCCCCCGCATCGGCAGGCGGACTCTCAACCACTGCACCACCAGGGAAGCCCTATACCTTATATCTTAATCTTGTCATTGAACTTATTGACTAACTAAAGTTATTAGTAGGAAAATCTCTTATCTAAGTCTCCTGTGGGTCAGTTTCTATTTTCTACTCTTTTCTCTGTTTTCAGTCAGACTTTTAATTTTGATACCTGATTATTTTTTATTGTGTTGGACATTATCACTACCAAAAAAATTATAATAATAATTTGAGGTTCTCCATAATTTTATATTTATCCAGGAAACTTTATTTTTGCAGTTAGGCTAGGGGTAGATCACCCTCATCAGTCAGTGGTTAAGATGGTTCCAACTTGGGCTTCAGTCCTTGTGAAGGTTGGTCTAATTTCTGCTCCTTCCTTATTCCTAGATTGTAGCCTTTGAGGGTCCAGATAAAAGCCTGGCTGTTTTCCAAGACCTCTTCTCCGAGACAGATGCTGGACTCTTGTTTTTTTTCTTAGCTTCTTTGCGTCAGCTCCTGTTTTCTCTGTCAGAATCAGTAGCTGTCTCGAGGAATGAAGCTGTGCCAAATGTCCAGCCCACCTTTCCTGACTTCTTTCTTTATCCAGAGCTTGTCCCCCCTCCCCTCAATTCTCACTGCCTTGATATCTTACCAGTGTCTCCAAACATATATATTTTTACATTTTGTTCAGTTTTTCTGGTTGTACTCAGCTGGATGGTTGGTTTTAAAGAACCTAGCCATTCTGGAAATATAACCACATGAAGTTGTTTTGTTGTTCTAGTGGTGATCATTGGTTTGTTTATTTGTTTTTACAAAATATTTCAAAGCAGTTTTTATTTTGACGGTCATATCTCCCAAACCCCTACCTTCACTATACATGTCCATTGTCCTGTGCTGTTAGTGGTGATTGGGTAAAGAGTTTGAGAAATGCAATGGAAAGAGAACTGACTTTTTAAGCAGACAGACGTGGGTTCAAATTGTGACTTTTATTGATTTTTGTCAACCTGTGCAAGTTATCTGTTAACTTTTTTAAATTTCTGTTTTCTTATCTGCAAAATGGTCATAGTGAGAATGAAAAATGAAATTAAAATTTTTTTCAAGCGAGATAAAGTATGGACTGCATCTGGCATGTGGTAGATGCTTAGCAAACGTTTAATAATTATCTTGGGGAGTTGGAAACTGTAGAATTAGGACTATTCTCATAAGAATTTCATAGGAATTTATAAGTTCACCATGTAGTAATTATTAGCAAACCCTTATGAAGGGCCTGTTTCGTTGTCAGGCAGTTCAACAGGCATTTGTCGAGCAGCCACTGTCCCAGGCATCCTACTTAATCCTGGTGATATATAGATGCTGTTCGAGGTCTTGCAGTCCAGTGGGATAACAATGAAAGATGGTGAGCAGGTGGCAGCTGCATTCACCACTGCAGTGAAGCCTGGGTATTAGGGCGAGGAGTTGGCAAACTTTTCTTTTAAAGGGATAGATGAGGCTTTGCGGGACATACTGCCACTGTTGCAGGTACTCAACTCTGCTGTTGTAGTGCAAAAGCAGCCATAGTCAACACTGGGTGTATTCAAGTAAAGCTTCACTTACAAAAACAGGTGGCAGATAGGTTTGGCCCTGCGGATCCCGAAACAGTGCTGACTCTAGCCTTCTACAAGCTAAGAATTCTTCTTACATCTTTAAAAGATTGTTTTAATAAAAAGCAAGAAAAAGAATATACAAGACACTATTTGTGGTCCACAAAGCCTGATGTATTTTATTTCTAATTCTTTACAGAAAATGTTTGCTGACCCCTGATGAGAGTAGGTAATGATTACTACCAAAAGAGAAAAAGGGTAAATATAAGTATTTTGATAGCAAAGAAAGAAAAAGAACGTGGCAAGCAGGCTTGGGTCCATGCAGGATCCTGGCTAGAAGAACAGGAAATTCTGTGTGTAAATACTGACATATTTGCCTGTGCCCCACCCCAGCAGTGATCCTCCTAGTTGCTACTCATTTATTTTACTGAATTGTCCATACTGTGTGTTTTCGCAGCAAATAGAGGGACAAAAGTTAAATGCTCTTAGATATGTTCTCCTGCATGAAAGGAATTAACTTCCCAGTATAGCTAAAAGTTATCAGTCCTTACTCTTGGTATTTATATTGCTTTATAATTTATAACATCCTGCTAATTTTTTTCTTACAGAAATACATTTTCGGGAAATGGCCTCTAAATCTTGGCTGAATTTTTTAACCTTCCTTTGTGGATCAGCAATCGGATTTGTTTTATGTTCTCAGCTACTTAGTATTTTGTTGGGAGAACAGAGGGACCTCCAGCCTAATATTCTTCATAATGATCCTCATGCTAGGCATTCATATGATAATGAACAGAATCATCTAGAAGGACAGATGAACTTTGATGCAGATGCTAGCCAACATAAAGGTATGGCTTACTTTATTAAGGAGTAAAGATAAACCATATTTTTCAATCTGTTTAAGTGTTGAGAGAATTGGAAAAAGTTATTTATATGAATTTTATTATATCACTATATCTTTTGATGAAAATGAGCTTAATTCTAGATATTAAATGACAGTTCTTGGTTTGCCTCAGGAGAAGGCAATTGCTAAAACCCAGATTTATTTAGGGTGTAAGATATTAACTTTGAATTTATTTTTAAATAGAAATAGTTCAGAAACCATAATTTGGGGAAAGGCAAGACTTTCAAGTTAGATTTGTTTCTAAAAATTTTAATTTTGTTATCATGGTTCATATCTGTGTCTTTGGTTTTTGCTATCATCTTGTTTTAATCTTGGTTTTTGCTTAGTCTGGTTTTAGAAAAGCTCAAGAGGTATATATAAATCTCAATTTATATTTTATCAGTAGCTAACCTAACTAATCTTTTCTTGTTTTGAGAGGCATAAAAAATTAGGAAAGTAGAAAACTAGGAATGTGTTATATATAATGACTTCATTTTCTCCTGGTCTTCTACCTCTATCCAAATGTTCTGAATTATGTCCTCTATGTGCCCCTTAAATGTTGGTTTTCTCCAAGTTTCTGTCCTTTGGCTCTTTCTTTGCCTGTGTGATGTCATCAATCCCCATAATTTTAGTTTCCATCTGTTCCTTGCTGGCTTTACCTTAGCCCAGTTCCAGACACTACGAGAAGACATTCAGAATTCAAAGATCTCTGCAAATTGTGATTTATTTGACAGAAAACAGTACAGCAGCTTGAAAAACCATTGGAATTCTGGAATGCAGAGGGTCCCCCATTAAGGGTTTTTTCTCTTATCTTTTTGGCAGTAAATTGCTTCTTTCCTATCTCTCAAGCTGAGGTTGAGGGCGAGGTATCACATCCTTGTTGAGTTTTATGAACTAGCAAATACATGCATACTATTACAAAGTGTGTCGTGTGTGTGAATGTTTATATGACAGTGATTCAGCCCTGAGCAGCCATGTTCTTATCACAGAGCAGTTTAATCATTGTGCACTTGATCTGTATCATTGCTCTAGGTCTTCAGTTGATCAGTTGGAGCCAGGCTTCTCTACTCCTGGTAGGCTGTACTAGATCGGCCTCACTGCAGGCACATATATTAGGATCTACTTGTCCTACTTGATGGTCCACAGAATGTGGGGTATGCTAGAGGTCTGTTTCTCTCAGACTTAACATGTGTAAATCACACTCCTTTTCCTTTATAATCCTAAAATTCATTCTTCCTCCTATTTTTATATAGCTCATTACTTTCTGCCTAAGCCAGAAACTATGAAGTCGTGGTAGGTGCTTTCCTTTGCTTACCAATCAATCCTGTTTCTCATAAATTCTAACAGCCTGCTTCTTTACCATTTTTTAGGTTACTTCTCTCAATCTGTAGCACGCTTGCCCTAGTTCAGGCTGTATATCCATGTACCTGCTCTCAAGCAAACTTCACCATGCCTTTTGTCCTTTCTTCTGGTGAGCTTCATTTAGAGACCTAATTTTTGCATCATCTCTTATTTTTCCTGATATTGCTTTATATCCCCTTCTTCTCTATTCTAGCCAACTTCCCATTCCACTGTTCTATAGTGTTTATAAGGCATTGCTTTATTTTACCCTCAGCACATTGAAACCTTCACACATACCTCTATTATAGCATTTCTAGTGTATGGCAAGTATTGGTTTGCATGCCAAGCTCCCATGCTAGAATGAATTCTTCTGAAGACACATGAATAATACATGTGTCTTATTCATCTTTTTATCTCCTGTACCAGTACGTGCCTACTACAGAGTAATGAATGAATTAATAATTGAAAGAATGAGAAAGACTATCTACCAGATTCCAGCAGTAGGGAGAAGGATGTCTTGCTCTAAGTGAAACATATTGGGGATTGCTGCTTCCACCACTTTCCCCACCATCCAGAATTTGGTATATCTGTACAGCTAAGAGATTGGGCTCCTCAAGTATATGAAATGTGAATGCTCTCTGACTGAAAAGAGGGTAATTTTCTCTGTTTTTGGATTGTGAATTCTTGAAATTCAGAAGGACATGAGAATACTTTCATGCCCTGCCCAATCTTTCCTTCTACTCCCTCTCCATCAGTTAACTAGAAATTTTTGCCTCCAGTTGTTAATTTTTCACAGGGCTGAGCTTTTTTAACTCACTGGTTGACCTTAACTTTAAGGATGTTTCCTCAGGATTCTGCCTAGAGCATTGCTACACAAAGTGAGGTTTTGCAGACTCATACTGGTCCACAACTAAATAAGTATTAAAATCAGGATTAAATAGTTAGAAACCTTTATGGTAATTTGACAATAATTTTGAATAAATCTAGAAATAAAAACTTTGGGCTTGTATTTTATATTTATTTTTTAAATTTTATTTTATTAGTAATTCATTTTTAGCATATTTACAGAAGTATAGGTCTCTAACTACTGGAAATAAAAATTGATCCTTCACCAAGCACTGATCTGGAATATCATAGTTGGATTCTTCCTCTAGAGCAGTGTTACTCAAAAGGTAGCCTTGGCCTGACAGCCTGTGAATTGTTTGTTACCTGTCTGCATCCTAATAAGGATCTTGCACCAGGATGTAACTCAGTTAAGCTCGCTGCTGAGTTAAGTGGACGTTTTGATAGGTTGTAGTAAAACTTCCTTGATGAAAGAAGTAACATGTTGCTTTATATTCTGGCATAAGCTCCCTATTTCTTTGCCGACCAGTGCTTTGAAAAACACTGCTCTAGACAATCTTGGAAATACTACTGCTACCTGTTCTTCTGTTTCTCACTGTTAGATTTGCATTTTGGAATGAGGTATATTACTGTAAGAAGTAATCTCTGTTTTGCATTAACTCCTCTTCTTCGAACTGGGGTAGTCATGAAAACATTTTTAAAACCACCTCAGGGTACTTGTAGAAATTCTTAACACTAGACTCTTGTGGACTCCAAAATGAACTGCTGCTTCATTAGTTTGTCTTTACTGCCCTTCAGAAGCTTATTCACAGCAGTGAGAAATTCCTGTCAATGTTCTTTCAGCTAAATCACTAATGGTAAAGAGGTATATGGGGGCAGGGGGGATCTTTGAAATTGTTTAAGAAAATGTCTTCTTTGATATAATTTATTTGGATTTTACAACTATGTAAATTAACTTTAAACAATTTCTGTTTAATAGATGAGAACACTGACATCGCTGAAAACCTCTATCAGAAGGTTAAAATTCTTTGCTGGGTAATGACAGGGCCTCAAAATCTAGAGAAAAAGGCTAAACACGTCAAAGCTACATGGGCCCAGCGTTGTAATAAAGTGTTATTTATGAGTTCAGAAGAAAATAAAGACTTCCCTGCTGTGGGATTAAAAACCAGAGAAGGCAGAGACCAACTATACTGGAAAACAATTAAAGCTTTTCAGTATGTTCATGATCATTATTTAGAAGATGCTGATTGGTTTATGAAAGCAGATGATGATACATATGTTATATTAGATAACTTGAGATGGCTTCTCTCAAAATACAACCCTGAAGAGCCCATTTACTTCGGGAGAAGATTTAAGCCCTATGTAAAGCAGGGCTACATGAGTGGAGGAGCAGGATATGTACTGAGCAAAGAAGCCTTGAAGAGATTTGTTGATGCATTTAAAACAGACAAATGTACGCATAGTTCCTCCATCGAAGATTTAGCACTGGGGAGATGCATGGAAATTATAAATGTAGAAGCAGGAGATTCCAGAGATACCACTGGAAAAGAAACTTTTCATCCCTTTGTACCAGAACACCATTTAATTAAGGGTTATCTGCCTAGAACCTTTTGGTACTGGAATTATAACTATTATCCTCCTGTAGAGGTAAGTTTAGAAATTTTATTACTATATAAATACTTAGACTGACTTTTGTTTACTTAAAAAAAAACTAATAATGTGTATGTTTCTTTAGTATCAATAACTAAGAATCTACCTTAGTCTTTTTATATCGAATGGCAGTGTAACAGAGTAGATGAGAACAAAGGTGTCGGCAGTGGTAATTCAACAAATATTCGTACTACTGTATGCCAGGCACTAAGAATATAGCAGTAAATATGGCCAAGTTCCAGTTCTTATGAACCTTACATTCTGGATGAAGAGACATACAATAAACAGGCAGACAAGTCAAGTTATAATATGATTTTAGGTAGTGGCAAGTGCCCTGAAGAACAGTAAACCCAGGTAAGAGGTTGGAGAGTGACCCAGAGTGGAATGGGGTACTGTAGTTTAGGCAATTAAGGAAGACTTCTCTAAAGGGTAACTTTTGAACAGAAACCTGAATGAGGTTAGAAAGCAGGCTACGGGAAGATCTGGGTAAAGAGCCTTCACGTCTTTAAGAACAACGCATGAAAAGACTTTGAGGTTCAGAAAGACCTACGTTCAAATCCTGCTGAATGACCTTGGATGGACAGAATTTGCCTAACTCCTGAGCCTAAGTTTCCTCATTTGTAAGATGGATCTGATGTACCTGTCTCATTCAGTGGTAGTTACGGTGTAGGACCATGTCTATCACACAGTGAGCACCTAATAAGTCCTAGATCTCACTTGACACCTTAGCTTACATTCCCGAGAATTTTATCTAAAATACATTATTTTACTAAATGTTTCAGATGTATAGCTAAATATTTGAGAAGGATATACTATTTTGTACCCAACAATCAGCTTTACCAATTATTAATCTTTTGTCACATTTGCTTCAGATTTTTTTTTAAAAGAAAAAGATATAGAACTAAGTGAGGCCTATGTACCCTCCTCAGTCCAGTTCTCTTACCTCCTTCCTCAGAGTTAACCACTATCATGAGTTTAGTACTTATAATAACCATGCGTGTTTTTATATTTTTCCTACATTTTTATGAATCTATAAATAATATATAGGATATTGTTTTGCAGATCTTTAAGTGGAATTATACCTCATGTATACTTGAACATATGCCTTTTTCACACATTGAAATTTGTCAACATTAATGTATGTATCTGCTTCATTAATTTAGACGGCTGTGTCATAATCTAATATATGAATATACTGTAACTTACCCATTCTTCAGCCGATATATATTTAGTAGGCTGTTGCTGGTTTTTCACTATATGAGCATTGCAGCGGTGAATGACTGGAGACTGGGAGTCATGAAACCTAGCTTTTAGACTCAGTTCTCTTGTTGATTAATATGTCTCAAGGCAAGTCGCTAGTGCTCTTCACCTTCTTTCCTCTGGCCCTAAGGTACAAATAATACACTTTGTGCTACCTTTCTCTTCTTCATGAGCCAATGTTTTCAGATCATCAACTAGAACAGTGGTTCTCAACCAGGGGCTTTTTTGCTTCCCAGAGGACATTTGGCAAAATCTGGAGACCTTTTTGCTTGTTAACTTAGCAGTTGCTACTGGCACCTAATGGATAGAAACCCACGAGACTGTAAACCCACTAGGTGCTAAACATTCCACAATGCACAGGGCAGCCCTCACAACAAAGATTATCCAGCCCAAAATGTCAACAGCACTGTGTTTTCAAAACCTTGACCAAGAATATCTGACCCAAGCTTTAAGCTATCAGCTTTAAAAAGGAAAACTCGAAGCAAATCACTACCGTATCAGCTCTCAACCACCAGTGTGTTCTTGTTACTTACACAGAAATGATAGCTAATCCTTACGGCAATCCTGCATTTAAGAGGGGACAAAACTGGGGCTCAGGAAAATCAAGTAACTGGTCTATCCTGCTAAGTAGCCTAGGCAGTATTGCAAATCCACTCTGGTTCTAAAAGCTTGTGTTATTTCCATCATGAGCACCCGTCTCTGATTAATGGGATATGTGCCCCCGAAAGGAGGGTAGGGGATATGTTAGAATAAATATTCTTTTGTTGGGATAAATTCCACTTGAATAAACATTTTAAAACACAGTTTTATGTAATGAGGTTGTTTGAAACCGTATGCTAGCATCTTATCACTATTAGAGATGCAAGAATTTCCTAAACTATAAAACAGATGTATTCCCAAGTGTGCTTTTGATAGTCTATTTTTGTTTTGGTTTTAGTGAGGTACTACTTTGGATGCTTCTTTAGTGTAAACTCTTCTTAAACCATTCCAAGATTACTTGACCTCTTCCCTTCTTAATTCTGCACCCCTTCCCATACAAAAATATACCCAAACTCAAAAACATTACAAATGCGTAATAACAAGTACACCTAATGCATGTAAGATTTTACTGAGAGTATCTGATATTGAGTACACATAACAGTAACAGTAAAGAGACATCATAATTGTCATTATTTTGTAACCAGCAAAATATCCTACTTTCTCTTTAAGAGTACTGCCCACAGTTCCCACCTACATATAGGGTATACCCAACAATATACTTTATATTAACAAAATAAATATTTCTATAGTACATATTTTATTTAAATTGTACTAGCTTTTTAAATGGATGGAAAATTTTATGTTCCTTCTATAATAATTTGTGAGTTGTATTGAAGACTGTAAAATGGGCTTGGAAGTTCCAAAATTGACCCAACCTTCTGATATTGTCTCTTCTCTCTCAGGAGGTTCTATATAAACCCAAAGTGAAATCAGACTTCTATTATTACTCATCATTTAATAAATCGTCTTCTCTCTAAGGGAGTTACTGTTTTCAAAGCCATCCTGAGTCTCATACATACACTTCCTCTCTCTAGTAATCACTAAAAATACACTGTAGAAAATTTTTTTTAGAGGTTAGGGTGTGAGATATTCTAGATGATCAAAGAGTTGTGTTCTTAAGCTGGTTGTTCAGAACTTTGCGTGCAGTTCCCTTCTCATACCACTTTCTCACTTCCCTAGAAGTAAGTCTATTCCTAGGAATAAAGTCTGTTCCCTAGGAATAAAGTCTATTCTCTAGGACTACATACAGTCTATTCCCTAGCAGTAGATTTTTCACCAGAAAATTTGCAATCAGTCTTAATACAGTGGATTTAAAATAAGTGGATTTTAAAATATTTTAAAAACCCTCTACTTGTGAAATTGCCTTTTCGTAGGTCAGAAATGATCAAATATGGTTTATTATATTAATTCTTCAGTTTTATTTGCATTAACTCTAATCCATTTGAAACTTACTGATATATGGTTGATGTAGAGAGCTCTTGATTTTTCCAAATTGTTAACTAATTATTCCAGTACCATTTATTAACTGAGTCTTGCTTTCATTACTGATTTAAAAATACCTCCTTTATTATCATCCACTATAGCATTACTTATAGTAGGATCTGTATCTGAGATTTCAGTTCTATTTGGTTTTGGCTCAGTACCATATTGTTTTGAACCTTGTAGCTTCACAAAAATTTTAAGTTATTAAGAGTGTGTCTTCCTCTCCTTTACTTCTCCCTCTCTTTTAAATTGTTTTGGCAACTCTCATGTCTTTCTTCTTGTGTATAAACTTATTAATTTAGGAACGGTGGACATCTTTGCCCAGGATTTTTTAAGTTCCTTTTAGGTCCCTTAGTAAAGTTTTATACTTTTCTTCAGGTAAATCTTTATTTCTTAAGTATCTCCCTAGGTTTTTAGTATTTTTGTTACTCTTCTACTTGGGCTCTTTTCTAAAAACTTTTTAACTAGTATATACATGAAAGCTGTCTTTTTTTTTTTAAAAAAAGCATCTTTAAAATCTGGCTCTGTTCCTGGATTTTTTATTTCTGATGATTTTTCACTCTACTCTCGAGTTTTTGGGGTATCCATAATCATATGCAAAGAACTAGGTATTTTGTTTCTAATAATTTTAGCTGGTTTTTTATAGCCTTTTATTGCTTATAAAGCTTAATAAAAACAGTATCCTGGCCATCCAGTAACAAAACAGTGCAATAGAGTATAACATAATTAATGCAGTAAATCTTATCAAAAATATTATTGCAATATTTCAGAGTTATATAAAATTGCTTCCAGAGAGGATCAGTAATTTAATATTAACCGCTCTTGTTCTAGTCTTTAGTTTACTATGCACTGGCCACTATAGTAGCCACTAACCATATATGACTACTGAGTGTTTGAAGTATGGCTATCAAAATTTAGATGTGCTCAGGTATAAAACTCATACTTGATTTCAAGGACTTAGCACAAATTAAAAGAATGATTTCATCAGTAATTTAAAAAATATTGATCACCTATTGAATATTAAGAAAATAATATAGATTTATTCAGTTAAAATATATTCAAATTAATTTCACCTATTTTTACTTTTTAAGTATGGCTATTGCATTGTGTGACTCACATATATCTACTTGACAGAGCTGGTTTGATAATCACAAGTTGACTTATCTGTTTACTTTTCATATTCCTATTATTAAATTCCCTAAAGTTGTAAAAAGTAGGCACCAGATAATTTTCCAGCATCTACTTAGTGGTCCAAGAAACCCACATATCCAGTGTTTGTTTCAAAGGAAACGTCAGAGGAAATACAGTGGACAATTTCTTAATGATTTTTACTGCATTGTAAGCTACATACTTCCAAACATAAATTATTAAATGTTCAATTTAATAGGTCAATATGAATCTTCTCTGGGAACTTGCCAGACTGTTTTTCTCCCTGGGCCCCTGCAAAGACATTAGAGACTTAAGTTTTCTTGGAGTCATCTGAATGAAACAGTCTCCAGATACCAGTTCTGATCCCCAGATGACCTTGTGACTATTTAAGTCTGGGACCAGTTTTTAAAATTTCTGTTTTATTTTCTTGCGTTTTCATTCCTCTTGTATGTTTGTTGTATTTTTGTTATTTCGTTTTTGTCTTGTTTTATTTAAATCTGCTCTCATGCCAACGCTATTAGAAATCTATGAGAGTTATATAACTGAACAAAGGTTTAACTTTGACCTACTTACTGAGGGCCACCTGAACTTGATTATTCTGTCAGTAATAGCTAACATTTATTGAACATTTACTATAGGTAAAGCATGGTACCAAGTGGGTGACACGTTGTCTCCTCTAAGTAAGCATCTTTTGAACATAGGGAAATTGAAGCTTATAGAGATTAAGTAACTTGCCCAAGATTATATACTAGTAGGCAAAATTTAGACGCAAACCCAGGTGTGACTCAGCACTTCCTCTCTTAAATACTATACTGTTTGGGTTGATTTGTCGATGAAGTATTAGGTTGCAGACACATACTGGGCAAGGCTTTGTAGTCATTGAATGTTCCAAAGGTGTCTTTCTGAGGCTGAGCCAAGCAAAACTTCATAGTGAGAAAGTTATGAAGAGAAAGCAAAACTTGGAGAAATAGAGCATTATCCTTTGTATAGCTGACCCTTTTATTTGAAGAGGTCTCAAGCGTTTTCTTTTTTTGCTTATCCATAGAGCATGAGAGAATATTGTTTCAGTTAGATATACTTCAGTAACTTCATGTTTGATTTTAAATCATTGGGAACTCTGAAAACTCTTGGTTTCTTTCACAGGTCTAATAAATTATGTGCCTCTGCTTTACTTTGCCAGCCTTAATGCTTGGATTCTGTTAAAATTAGTGTTTCCTTTATCAGTATTTGAATATTGTATGTTAAGAATGTGCTATTTATTAATAATGCCTGTTTCCATTACTTTTTTAGGGTCCTGGTTGCTGTTCTGATCTTGCAGTTTCTTTTCACTATGTTGATCCTACAACTATGTATGAGTTAGAATACCTCGTTTATCATCTTCGTCCGTATGGTTATTTATACAGATATCAACCTGCCTTACCTGAGAAGATGCTAAAGGAAATAAGTCAAACATACAAAAACGAAGATACAAAAGTAAATCAGGAGCCCCTGAAAGAAAAACATAAATGAACAGAGGTAAAATGTCTAGCATTGCACTGAAGAAGAACTTCTCCATTTCTGATATAGAACACTGGAATCCCAGTGAGGAATTCTTTCTAAGTGAACATTCCATATTAGAAATTTTTCATATGAATGACTGTAAACTGAAGCTTTAAGTGAGCTGTGAAGTCTGTTGAAATGTGTTTTGATACAGTAATATATATACATATATGAAAAACTTGTGTTTTTAAAATGGTGGCCAGGCAGAGGAACGAGAAGAGATTTTGTTGCCTGTTCCTGACCACATGTATTATTTTCACTGAGAAACTAAAACAGTTAAATTTGCTAAAACTACACTGCATCATTGTTAGTAACCCACACACGATGCTACACAGATCTGCCTTAAAGAAAATTTAGAAGGAAATATTGTTGCTCAGTGTTGCTTGTAAACTCAAAACATGAGTTTATATTTGCAGTATGATATAAATGAACCAACCCCCCCCCACACACGTCCAACTTTTGTCTAATGAAAATTTTGCTGTGACTATTTATAATTGGCAGTATTTCTTCCAGAGTAAGGTAGAATAAGAATGGCACTTGACCTAAAGTGCATTAATAAAACCACATTTTGAAATTATCATGGGCCTTGACTGTATTATATACTTGGTTCTAATTAATAGTTAATCTTTTACTGAGTCCCCATTGTCTCTTTCCTAAACATGTTTAACCATTCTTGAATGCCATTCTCAACTATTAATATTTATTTACTGAAAGTGTTAATAGCATTCTGTAAACATGCATTTTTAAATATTTTATTCCCAAATTTGCCCATTGTTAATTATGGGTAACTAATAAATAGTAAATGTAGTGCTATTTGGGGATGCTTTTCTTATATTAGTGCCACTCTCAGGAATCACTAAGTAACATTTTTAACTGATTATTTAAAACTGTCCAACTACATAATTATAGTTCCTTTCATTCTCATCCTGCTGAGAGATGAGAACTTGTTTGTGCCTTTCATAACTTGTTTAAAGCAGAGTTTTGAGATTCATTTTCAGGCTCTGAGGTGGCTGTTAGTTACACTGGCAAAATAATTTGTGAGATTTTGACCAGAGTTAATTAAAAACATTAAAAAATGCAGAGTGCTTAAACAAATTGAAATATGTCAGATATTAAAAGACCAAATACTTAGTTTACGAATAACAGCCTGAATTTTGATGCTGACTTATTTGGGGATGATTGTTTTGCCAATGGACAGTTCTTGATGACATCAAAAACACATTCATAAATGTTTTGTTCTAATTTTAGTTACCCTCTATTTAAAGAATTTCTGGAAGGAAAGAAAATTTTAAATTTTTGTTGTCTTTCGCAATATCATCTGAGTGTATCCTAACAGAATACTTTACAGACTTTCCATAAGATTACCTTAAACGTTACAAATAATTTACATTTCTCTTATGTTTTATCATTATGCTAATTTTATGTGGCTGTCATGCCATTGATTCTGCTGCTTAGCTAAATAGTTTATATTTATTGTGCCAAAGCATGTCAAAACCATGACCTCTTTCAGCTGTATATTTGAGAGGATGTTCATCTTAGTGGCTAATTATGGATTACTCTGTCAGCATAGTGAAAACTTATACCAGTTTTTACCAATTGAATTGTTTTTTGTCATTTTCATGATGATATCATCTGCCAGAATTTCAAGGCGTTCATTCTATTCTTTGAACAACTCTTTACCTTGGTATGGATAGGAATTTATTTGCAGTCCGTACATGCTACTTTTCTGTACTAGAAGTATAAATGGTTTACCATAAACATCCAAAAACCTTAAAATTGATTCTTAGGAAATCAACATTGTGATGAATCCTGGGGTCTGAAGTCAGACTGCCTGGGTTTAAATTCTTGCTCCATCACTAGTTTTGTAACCTTGAGCAATTTACTTAATCTCTCTGTGCCTCAGTTCCCTCATCTGTAAACTAGGGACAATAATACTACCTACCTCACAGGATTTATATGAGGATTAAATGGGTGAAAATGTGTATGGCTTTTAAAAACACTGTTTGGCCCAGAGTATGGAGTGCTAAGTATAAAGTTTTCTTATTATTCTTTACCTTGGAGTGTAAATATTTGTTTTAAATGAATGAGAAATCTGCTTTAATCAAATCAGGTAATAAAGGAAATAACTCATACATTTCTTATAATAAGTAATAGCTAGTTTTTATTTGATGCCTACTGTATGGCAGGTAACGTGCTTAGATACTCTGTGTTAATCCTCACAAATTGGGGGTTATTCCCATATTATAGATGAGAAAACTGAGGCTCAGAAAACTAGAGTCATTTTCCACTGTCAGAAAGCTACTAAGTAACAGAGCTAGGATTTATACTGGAAGCCTGTGTATTCTTTGCCCCATGTTAGCCTTGAGGTTAATCATTAGCATTATTTCCATTTTTACTTAATGGCAAGTGACATCTGATGCATTGGCCAGCAGTAGTCAAATTAACCAGCTAAATTGTCATAGTGGTTCTTAAATTGTTATTGTTATTATACTCTTGCCTGGGAGCTTGTTAAAACGGAGATTTCAAGACCCCAATTCCAGAAATTTTGATTCTATCATGGGACCCAGGAGTATGCATTCTTACCAGATAACCTGGGGCACTGGTTCTCCACCAGTGTGTGGTCCCAACCAGCAGTATCAGCATCACCTGGAAACTTGTTGGTAATGCATCCTCTCCTGGGTCTCACCCCAGACCTACTGATTCAGGAACTCTAGGGGTAGAGGCTAGCAATTATGTTTAAACAAGCCCTCCAGGTGAGTCTTATTCAGCATTCCCCTAAAACCTGGTGATTCTGATGCCAATCATCCTTAGATACTTGCCCCATAAGTAAGGTTATCTTTCAAAAATTTAGATAAAGCATGTTTTAAATGAGTGTAGTTCAGCATCACACTATATTAAATGTAAAAGACTAAAGATAATTTAAAGGGTCAGTGGATCATTCATTTTGGCAAAATTCTTTAGCTTCTTCAGAGTTACTAATATCAGGGCCCACAGTAAAATATGAAGTTTAGTAATTTCATATTGGGGCAGAAAAGTTTCAGTAAATACTAGTAAGTATATATTAATTCATTAAAAGCATACTTAAATGAATGTCATAAAAAATGTCCACAGCTGTTAGTGAAAACATTTTAAATGGAGGTAGCAAAGTACTATTTTATAATGTGCAGAATGTTTTTCTGCCAATTCATACTATCAAAATTTCATCACTTTTCAAGAATCAGTTGACTGTCCTATAGGACCTAATAAAGAAAAAAACTCTCCAAGTATTTGATAGAGCACATAAAACCAGATTTCATGATGATAATGACTTACTGTCTTTTGAATTAAGATTTTTGTCATCTGGGTAAATGATTTTAGTATGGTCTCAAAACAGGCTTTTGCTATCTTACGTTCTCCAATGTCTACTTGTATTTTCAAGTGGGAAGTTCATAGATGATACAAAGCAGATTTTTGTCCCAGAGTTCAATTATTTGTTTTCAAATAAACTTCAGAGGAGTTTTTGTTACTGTAAGAAGATTCGAAAATAAATCACTGACCAATTTTTTTTTTAAGTATGGTAATTGGATTTGAGCATTAAATTTACTAACTGGTTATTTTCATAATTGTTGGAGTATTAATTTTTCACTTCCTTGAGCCCGTTATACTGTATTATTACCAGATTGAGGCTTGAAAAATCCTTCGTTTGATTGAGTAGATCAAGTCTACCCTTTTATTCATTTAAATTTTCATTTCTTTAGAATATTCTCTGACAATTTCTGCTTCTTTGTATTTATTACCCTTTATTTCCTTGATAACTAACTTCCATTTTCTAACTACTCTTAATTCTGCCTTCGCAAGGTTAATTTGGCTGTTATTAGTGATTAGAGTTTGTATGTATCACTTACATTATTTTATACCTATTAATGTTAGGTTTCCCTATGAGGTTGGAAGTAAAAATTTGTCTAAGAATAATGCCTACTGGCTCTCAGGATACTTGACCTACTTAAAAGTCTACAATGTTAAACTAATGCTAGATATACAATTAAATGAAGTACAATTATTTGGATTCTATTACTTCCCAAATTCCCCTTTTCACAAACAAAAAAACCTCATTTGCCTCATCTCTCTACTTATTTATAGTAAGCCTGACAGAAGCATACTTAAGAAATCTAGGGGACAACCTGTGGTTTATTTTGTGCTAAATGTAACCTCTGTTGATTTTTAAAAGATGGCTTATGTTTATATATTGGAGTTGAAATAGAGATTTAATTCAAATTAGAATAAGAAATTTTATAAATTCTCTTTAGAGAAACCAACTCTGAAACTAGTTTCAGAGTTGAATAATGCTCTATTTCAATTCCTTTACCTCTCTAGTTTTTAGTTTATATGTGTTAAGTTTAAATAACTTTGCAGGGCACTGCAAATTAATAATCCATATGAAGTATATTATTAGAGGGAAACTAATCTTACTGCTAAGCAGTGTGTTATATTACCCAGTGAACGTTTGTGTTTTGGAATTTAAAAATTATGTAAGGTAATAGTATCATGGATGATTTAAAAATGTCTGGTGACTTGCTTATTTTAAGTGATCACCAATAAGTCAGAAAAATGTATTTTTAAATATGTTTTTTAAAGTGCCTTTTGAACATTTTTAAACAATGGATTTAAACAACTGCATAAAATAAATTACCATGTTTAAAGCTGTTTTATCTGATTATTTTTAACTGATGTAAAAGTTGTGGGAGAAACACTATCTCTAATGGGTAGTTTTGGGGTTGTTTATCAAAAATATTAAACTATTTTCCCATCAAAATTATTCAATTTAAATAGGCTTAAATAATTTTTACTGCAATATATATTATTTTTCTTTAAAGCAACAAAATGTTCCACCTCTGATTTTGAATAATGTGCCTCAAAAAACAGAAACACCTACGCTGTAGGCCAGGTAAGTGTGTGTCTGTGTATATATGTGTATAGGTATACATATATGTTATAGAAAGAGGAAAAGATTGCTTTTCTATTTCTTGGTATATTTTGATCTGTCATGTACACTGAGAAATTAATTTATTCAACTAATTATTTATTTAAATAATTGTGCCCAGCATCTACTAGAAATACAGTGGTGAAGAAAATATACAGGATTTCTGTTCTCCTAGAGCCTTAATTCTACAGCTAGACAATAAACAAATTAATAGATGAAGGAACAAGATATTTCAGAGAATGGTGGTAGGAAAATAAAAGAGTGATATGGTAGAGCAATTTTCTGGGTGGGGTGTCAGGGATGACCTCTGAGGTAATATTTGAGCTGACCTGAATGACAAACATTTTATATGCTTCAAAAGGCATTTATTTATGTCTATGAAGTTCTTTGCTCCTACTATGTAAAAAAATAGTAATAATAATGTTTCCCACCTTTGTGTAATCATGCTTTGGGCATATGTGAAGGCTCATTGAAATGTGATCTATAGACCAAAATCTTTGTGGTTTTAGGCATATTTCATACAAAGCTCAGGTCTATTGATATTAGATCGGCCTGGGACTTTTAGGATATGAATAAAAATTGACCTACCTCTTCCTAAGCAGATTATTACAGATGTTCATAAGGCCCCTGAGGCTAGCCTGTCTGCCTCAATTTTCAGTAACTGCTACCCAGTATGCTACTTACTAGTGCCCAAGCACATATATGTATGTACCAACATATATATATACATGCAGTGCCATTTGGATTAAGCAGCTTCAGAAAAGCTAAGGAGATAAATGCTACTTCATGTTGCTTTAGTATCAGAGTTGTACAGTTTAACATATCCAGAAAGTCCCATGTTTTCCAGTCAGTAGTGTTTAGTTGTACTGCTAGTTAATGTCAGAGAAGAGATGTATTTACCTAAATATATACAGGTTTATTACCTATTTTAAGTTTTCCGATGGTATAATCCTGGAAAGGATACATGATTATTGTTGAATTTATTTTCTTGCTAAAGGAAAGGGCTCTACCCCAAACATATTTTATGTCAGATCTAATAATGCTGACGATATAGATTGTGCAAATAGAAATTCCTTTACTGTTTAATTAAGACTGAATGAACATTTAACAACTGGAGTTAAGCCACACTGACATTCTCCAGATAAGTCTGTATTAATAAACCATGAAAGTAAACTTTGTTTTGCCATAAGTTTGATTTTTTGCTAATTAATGTTTAGTTATTTTGCCTAGAAGTTTAACTACCATAGTTCTTAAAACTATCGTTGTGTTGCATCATTTCTTCTGCCAAAAGAACCACCCCTTATTTCTGCTAGTGTTTCTTATATTCTGTTTTAGATATTTATTTTTTCCAGGACTGAAAATTTGTCCAGGGCATTTACACTTTTTTTCTCCTATATATTGCCTCCGTATAGTGCAGCTGAATACACCTGTTTACTTTGCATTCATGAAATACACATTGTTCTTATTTATTTTTTATGAGATTCAGTCCTAGGATTTTAGCTATTTCAATTTTCGAATGATTGTGTAGTTGAAAGATTAACAGTAGTTCCTCATTTGTAGAACTGCTAGATAATGTGTCTACGTAGAATTAGAGTGCAGTGTCTTAGTCTTAACAACTAATCGTTTTGATTTTTGTCAGCTTCATATCTTTTTTTATAGAACTTTAAACTGAAATTGTCTTTCCTCCTATTCCTGTTAACACTGGAATCATTCTCCTGGTAGCATTTCAGTTGAATTTCACTTTCCATTATTTTTGTTGTTAGATTGTAGAGAAATGGTAATAAAATCTAGAAAGGAGTTTGAGAGAGAAGTAATGATTCAACATTTTCTTTAGTTTTATGCAAGGCTGTCCTCCTTGTATCTGTACTGTTCAGTGGGGTATATATGTGCATGTGTGTGAGAGACAGGAATAGAAAGGTAAGATTATTTTAATAGTTGGATTTTTTCTTTAAAATGTTGAAACTTGCTTTTTCATGCTGTTTAGATTTACATAATAGTCTTATTTGATGAGGTGAAAGTATATGCTTAGAAAAATTAGGCATGGAAATGATTGATTGTTTATAAAAATTTTTACAAACCTACTTGCCTGGTTGAATTTTCCCTCTCTTCTTGCCTGTGAACTTCTGGCTCTTTGAACCTTCCCCTATTCTTTTCTTCTTTCATTCCATGTCTTTTCTTTTTTCCTCTTCTTCCCACTGGCAGCAATTCTTTTGTTTCTTTAGACTTTTTATTGCCCCCATTTTCTATCAGCAGGTGTGTTTTAAAGACATTTTTTTAAAAATCACATACCTTTTGTAAATTTCAGTTCCCTCTCACCAGCTGAAGAAACTTTCCTAGAATTGACAGAAAGGAGAAGGAAAATTTCCTAGAATTAATAGAAAGGACTCATCAAAATCCTAGAATTTTCTCTTTTCTGTGGAAATGTTTTCTTCTAGAGCCTGCCCCCAAAAAATATGGGTGCATTTTTTTAAATACTTGAAAACCAGTGAGAATCTGCCTTATTATTTTTAACCCCAAATTGATAGCATCTTGTCTGGCAAAAGTGGTTCGTGAGGTTTTGAGTGGCGCTCATTGTGGCAGAGGTAGATCTTAGGAACAGAATCGCAAGTATTTTTCTACTTTATTTGAAACAGTGAGGCAGAGGATTCTCCTCTGGTTGGCCGTTGCCTGCTTCTTTGGGCACTGTCGTCTTGGGCTGTGACTTCCTCCTACCATCGTGTTTGGCCCTGAAGAAGGAACTTGTCCTCTCCCTTATTACCACAGCAAAGCAGAGACCAGACATTCCTGAATGTTCCAGAATAACAGAATAAAGAGTCCAGAGAATAATTTATGAGAGCTGCCCAGATCCAGTGGGACCTTCTTGCGCCTCACCAAGCTGTCTTTTCCTTGCCACCTGTTTCCAAGGCACCAGAGGTAGCTGAACCACCCCCATTAGAACATTCCAGATACTACCACATCTTTAAGAGTGTCAGCCAAATTGACAGCTACCCTGTAAAAAATGAGGAAGCTCTCCCTTCACCCCAGTCTAAAGCTCTCACGCTTCACTTCCTGCTGGAGAACTGACCCCTCCCCTGGGAAACTGACAGTGGAAACATTCACTTTCTTCAGAGGAAATGCCATCTTCACCCAGAGGAGTTTGGTCTGGATTTGTGGCCCCAATATGGAAATACCCAGTAATCTGACTTCAGTGTATTTCATGAAGCCTGTATTGTTCTTAAATAAATCACATTTGGAGCAGCAACTGCCAAACCCAGGTGAAGGCTACACCAGGCTGAATTCTGTTCCTGTTTCATCTCACTGCATTAACGGTTTCCAACATGTCTTAGGATCCTATTTCAGCTGGGCTCACTTCACGATAATACTAATGAGCTTTGAAACTTAACAGAAGTTACTTTATAACTTCATTTATATCATGTTCCTTTTTTAAATTTTTATTTTTTAAAATTTATTTATTTTTGGCCATGTCAGGTCTTAGTTGTGGCACGTGGGCTCTTCGTTGTGGTGCACGGGCTTCTCTCTAGTTGTGGTGGTGGGTTTTCTCTCTAATTGTGGCTTGCAGGCTCTGGGGCACGTGGGCTCTGTAGTTGTGGCTCACGGGTTCCAGAGAACCTGGGCTCTGTAGTTTGCGGCACGCGGGCTCTAGTTGAGGCTCACGAGCTCAGTAATTGTGGCACATGGGCTTAATTGCCCCACGGCATGTGGGATCTTAGTTCCCTGACCAGGGATCGAACCCGCTTCCCCTCCATTGTAAGGCGGATTCTTTACCAGTGGACCACCAGGGAAGTCCCCCATGTTCCTTTTTAAAATTAGCCACTTTCAAATATTCATCCTCAAGTGGAAGCAGAAAAAAAGAGTTGGGAAATAATAAGTGAATCACCTGTGTCTTCCTAGTGTTCCTAAATGAGACATGTGCCCTGCTATTTTCTACGATCCTTAAGTAATAATGATATTTGGTGTTATTTTCCACCTGAAACTCTCATAATTTTACCAAGTTAGACCTTCTTTTCATGTTTTATTGTCCTTACACTCTCTTAGGCTACTAAATCCTCAGACAGATTTACTAAATGGAAAACTGGTGTTCAGAGGTCAAGTGAAGCAGAACTTAGTGGTGAAATTTAACCTGAGTCTGAAGTTTAAAAACACACCAAGATCCAGTCTCCTTTATAATATACTGACTTAGGAGGGTGGAAAAAATGAAAAACTGCTTGGTGCTCATAAATTTTAAGATCACAAATGACCTCATTTAGGGCTAATGATTACCTCATAATAATGTAAATTAGTGCTTTACTATAGAATCTTTGTATTAAGTAGTAATTGAGCCTTTTACTAATTAGTACTCCTAAACTTACAGAATATTTTCTAAATTTGCTCTTTAATAACTTTAGATCACTGCATAGATTATTTCAAACTCAGTTATCAGAATCTCCTTTAAAGGGTTGTCTTTTTAACTTTTTGCATCTAAAACTTTTGATGTAGAATTACCCAAACTTCTTGCCATTACCGAAATTCAGATAAGTGAAGCAAGGGAGATAGAAGGTGTTAAAATGTGAGGCAGTGACTTAACCCAAAAGCACGGTTACTATCATCAGTGAGATTATTTTTTTTATGAAATTAAAGAAAGTAGATTGGTTTACTTGGACACTTTTTCTCCAGACTCCACTTTATGTGATAGGATGGTAGGATGTTTTTCTCTCTAAAAGGTGCTGTACTTTTTACTGCTAAGAATTAAAAGTTAACGTCACCCCACGGCATATCATGTTAAAATTAGGAGCTCTCATGGTTACTTCTTCTTTCTCCTCTCCACAGGTAATTCTTCCCAAGCTATTGGTTCAATCCAAGCTCTTCTGTACACACAAGGTCAACAAACATTTGATTTATTTTCTTGGCATTAATATAAGTCAAAATCACACCCAGGAGACTAGGGTGTGGTAATACAGACATCAAATCTCCTAATACCCTAATTCTAAGCCCATCAGTCCACATCCTTTTTCATGTGAGAAAGAATGACAGAAACAATCTGACAATTAACAGTCCGGCTTCTAGAGCCAAGACACACTAAAATGTAAGAAAAACTGGCATAACAGGGTGACCTGCATTAGGGCTAGAGGAGTGGTCAGTGGTAAATCCAGCCCAAACCCCTTGGACTGTGACCACAGCACACAGATACATTATAAGGTTTAAGTAATGAAGTCGCAGTCTGAGATCCTTTTAGCTGAACAAACATTTATGGATGACCTACTCTCTGCAAACATCTGTGGGAAATAAAAAGATGAATGAGATATAATTCTTGCTCTCTCTGAATCCACAATGTCATCTTTCTAATTTTCAACTAAATATGTAATTCAGTTTTCCCCAATACTCTGTTTTTATTCTTACATCTCTTCATGTAAGATTGTCTCCTAGAAGTCATTTAATATAATGCTCATACAATTCCAGCTAGTAACTTTATTTTTTGCTCTCAATTCATCTCCCCACTCTAAGATCAAGACCAGGGTGGTGAATGGATGAGTTGGTGAATAATTTCAATCTACTCTGCTCTCAAGCTGAAATCACATCAGGCATGTGGCTTTAACATACAAAATCAAAATATATTCACAATGTCTGTACCACTGAATTTTTCACCTTTTCACTGTTAGCTTTCAGAACCGTTTTTGGCAGATGAAATTGAGACTTTAAAAAGAAAAATTGAAGCTCACGATGCAATTTTAAAATTTAATAAATTTATTTTCCACTCGTGTTTTAAACTGCTAGATCATTTTCCCATTCTTCCTTGAATTAAACGCAACACACACGTGTGCCTGTACAACACATACACACGCAGACACATCCACTTTGGAGACCTCTGGTGAACAATCTATCGTCAGGGTTAATGGGACTTGTTAGGATCTGTTGCTGGCCTCAGAGGAGCATGCAGGAAGGTGGATGGGAAGTGCCCTTGGGATTCATACCTACAGAGGTCAAGGGAACAGGTCTGTGCAGACGGAGGTGTTGAAATGTAAAGCAGACCTAACAAAGGCCTGAGCCAGCCCCTCAGGGAAACTCTGAAACTGGGATGGCCTTTCAGTCTTGTCCTACTTGGGGCAAGACTGCCTGACCGTTATGCACCAATACAGGTACCCCCCACTTTTCAAAAGTTGCTTTCCTCCACTTTACTTTTAGGGGACACCTATATTAGTACCTGTTTTTGCTAACACAAAGAAATCCAAAGAGGATTTTCACTTTTACGAAAAAGGTGAAAAGTGAAAATAGCATTCCGCATTGGTTTTGCAGCGATGGAGCCATTATAGTGGCAGCACACACCCTGAACAGAGCAGGGAGAGTGGCACCGCCAAGCTCCTTCCCCAGGGAACGTCACTCAGCATCAAGCCACCAGAATTTTGAACTGTGTCGGTGAGCATCTGTGCTCTATTTCAGTTTATTTTGTACATCTGTTAGCAAGATGTGTCCTAAGATAATTGCCTCTTTGCTTTATGCCATTTCAGCTTATGAAAGCTTTTGTAGGAACGCTCTGCTTTCAGATAGCTGGGACACCTGTATTTAGCAGGTCACTGGATAAGGACTGCCCAGAGAGAAAGGCATGACCTTGGACAAGGTAGCTCTCTTCAGCTGAGGGTAATTCTTGGAACTTGGCTGAGAGCCATCAGCTGCCAGCACTCCCAGCAGCCGGGGAGTAAGTGCCTCAAACATGAAGGGGAGACCGGACCACACTCCACAGTGTCCACTACAGAATCAAGGTAAAAATCTGGCCATGAAAGCTCGCCTATGGCTTCTGTCTTCAGGCCTTTATTTTTTTTGTTTTGTTTTCTTTTGGCTTTTCGAGAGTATCTAGACTTTCCCTCTTTCTCTTTGTGCTTTGATTTTTCAATACTGGAAAAGTGTCTCAATTGAAAGATTAAAAGAAAAGCTAAAACAGTACTTGCCTGACAACTCCTTAAGTTACTCTGGACAACTACCAGTTATGCTTTGCTCCGAAGAATACGTTTCTGGACCAATTTGGGCTTCCGAGAAAAGCCAAAATGAGTTTAGGAGGCAGGAACGTTGGGGGCTGCCTGTGCCGTGTGATTAGAATTGTTATGGAGATCTCCCAGGGCAATTGGCTCTGACATCGTCTTCATTCGTAACTACCTCTGAACCCCAGTGGTGCTACCTGTCAGTGTCGCTCACCTTGCCCTTGGAGTGAACTGTCTCCTTTTGTTTATCACTTTGTGTCTGATTGGAGTTCCCAGGCTTGACTGCCTGATACCTCTGATACCTTGAAGTCAGGCCAGCCTACTGTCCTCCATGTCCATGACATTTACTTGGGGATTGCATGAACACTCACCTGGAGATTGCTAAATACCAGCTGATAACACAATCGAAGAATGGATAAGAGCCAATGGGGTGAAGGGGTGCTAAGCAGGAAAGTGGATGAGCAGCTATAGTAGGCAGAATTTCTAAAATAGTCTCCTTTCCCCAAAGATACCCCGTCCTAATCCCCAGAACCTGTGAATATGATGAAATATCACTTCCATGACTCTGTTGTGATAAAGCATAGTTTACTTTCTTAAAATAAGGAGATTATCCTGCATTATCCACATGGGTCCAGTGTAATCACATGAGCCTTTAGAAATGGAGAGCTTTCTCCAACCAGAGCAGAAAAGGAAGTCAGAGAGAGCTGAAGCATGGATGAACTTGACACCCCGTTGCGGCTTTGAAGGTAAAGGGGACCACGTGCAAAGAAATTTGCACATCCTCTAGCAGCAGAGAGAACCCCAGCTGACATCCAGCAAGAAAATGGGGCCTCAGGGGACTCCGTGCATGGAGCCCACCCTAGTCTGCCTGGACGTCTGACCTACAGAACTATGAGATTGCAGATGGGTGGTGTTTTCAGCTGCTAAATTTGTGGTAGTTTGTTACTGCAACAATAGAGAGCTAGTACAGTAGCCAAAATCAACAAGTTTACTCCTCACTGTTTTGAAAAGCACTGTTTCTTTGGAGGAAACTAGAATCTGCCTCTAAAACCAGTCTGTCAGAAGGGAAGGGTAGACTGAGATCAAAACTTATTTTGCATCGAGCTGCAACTTTATGTACCTTTTACTCCGAACACCTATCCTATGTGACAAATGCTGTTAGTATCCTAATATCATCTCCGTAGGCTGCTAACTGGTGTTCACAGAAACTAAGTTATTGGTCCAATGAGTTCTCAATCCAAGTGCTCACCAGAATCACCTAGTGAGCTTTTAAAATATCCTGATGCTCAGGCCTGAATCATTGCGGTCCAGGTCTCTGGCACTTTTTTTTTCTAACTTAGTTCTAATCACAGGGCTTATTTGTTTATTTACTGTTTATTTTTCTTCCAGTTTTACCGAGATGTGATTGATGTACAGAACTGTATACATTTAAGTTATACAGTATAATAATTTGACTTATGTACATCATGAAATGATGACCACGATAAGTTTAGTGAACATCTATCATCTCATATAGATACAACATTAAAGAAATAGAGAAAAAATGTTTTCCTTGTGTGAAAACTCTTAGTATTTACTCTCATTTATAACATACAGCGTTGTTACCTTTATCATGTTGTACATTACATCCCCAGTACCTATTTATCTTATAACTGGAGGTTTGTACCTTTTGACTGTCTTCCTTCAAATCCCTCTCCCCCCACACCTGCTACCTGATCTCTTTTTCTATGAGTTCATATGTTTTTGAACTGTTATTGACCTACAACGCTCTCTTAGTTCCTGGTACACAACATAGTGATTCAGTATTTATCTATATTTCAAAATGATCACCAGGATAAGTCTAGTTACCATTTGTCACCATGCAAATATACTACATAATTATTGACTCTGTTCCCCACACTATACATTTCATGCCCTTGACTCTTTTTTTTTTGGAACTGAAAGTTTGTTACCTCTTAATCTCCCTCACCTATTTCTCTCGTCTCCCCCACTTCCTCCTTCTCTGGCAACCACCTGTTCACCTGTTCATTCTCTATATCTATGACTCTCTTCCTATTTAGTTGGGTTTGTCTGTTTTATTTCTTCAGATTCCACAGATAAGTGAAATCATACAGTATTTGTCTTTCTCTGCCTGACGTATTTCACTTGGCATAATACCATCTAGATCTATCCATGTTGTCACAAACAGCAAGATTTCTTTTTTTTTTTTTTTTGGCTGAGTAGTATTCCATTGTGCATATATATACCTCACCTTCTTTATCCATTCATCTATTGATGGGCACTTAGGTTACTTCCATACTTTGGCTATTGTAAATAATTCTGTAGTGAACATAGGGGTGCACCTCTGGCACTTCCTTTTTTTTTTTTTTGCGGTACGCGGGCCTCTCACTGTTGTGGCCTCTCCCGTTGCAGAGCACGGGCTCCGGACACGCAGGCTCAGCAGCCATGGCTCAACGGGCCCAGCCGCTCCGCAGCATGTGGGATCTTCCCAGACCGGGGCACAAACCCGTGTCCCCTGCATCGGCAGGCGGACTCTCAACCACTGCGCCACCAGGGAAGCCCTCTGGCACTTTCTTAAGTTCCTTGGATGATTCTGATATAACCAGATGGTGTTTGACAACCACTTGTTTAAAATGTGGTTCATGGATGCCTGTGTCAGAATCCCCTCAGGGCCAGGGCAGACACAATGGTTGTCCCATGACAGCCATCCCCTACTTCTTCATTTACAACAGAGCCCCAGTTATGTTCGGGTGGCAATGTGCCTAGCCTTAGGGGACATTGCCACAGTCATTTCAATTTTACACTCTAGCCATGTTATCCCATTGCACTTTCTCAAATACCTTCCTGTCTCCTTGTAGCTAGAGGCAACCAGTAACACGGTTCTGGTGGAAAACATATAAGGAGACTCTGCCAGGGTGACGAGTTTCTAGGAAAGATTTTTTTTTTTTTTCAGGAAAACAAGGGGCACCAGGAGAGCTGTCTGGTGCCATTCTCTGAGCATGGTGGTGAGAGGATGTGTTATAGGGAACAGTGTCAGCCTCGCCATGAGTACTAACATGCAGAGAAAGTAGGTTAGAAAGAAAGAGCTTGGGGCCCTGATGACCACATTGAGCTACACCAACCCTGGTACCATTATTAGGAGACTTCTTGTTATGTGAGATAATAATAAGTTCATTTGTATCTTTTTTTAAATTAGATTCCACATATGAGTTGATAACATGATATTTTTTCTCTGTCTGACTTACTTCACTTAGTATGATAATCTCTAGGTCCATCTGTGTTGCTGCAAATGGTATTATTTCACTCTTCTTTATGGCTGAGTAATGTTCCATTGTATATATGTATCACATCTTCTTTATCCATTCCTCTGTCAATGGACATTTAGGTTGCTTCCACGTCCTGGCTATTGTAAATAGTGCTGCAGTGAACATTGGGGTGCATGTATCTTTTCAGATTATTGTTTTCTCCAGATATATGCCCAGGAGTGGGATTGCTGGGTCATATGGTAGCTCTATTTTTAGTTTTTTAAGGAACTGCCGTACTGTTCTGCATAGTGGTTGTACCAATTTACATTCCCACCCACAGTGTAGGAGGGTTCCCTTTTCTTCACACCGTCTTCAGCATTTATTTTTCATACACTCGTTGATGATGGCCATTCTGACTGGTGTAAGGTGATACCTCATTGTAGTTTTGATTTACATTTCTCTCATAATTAGTGATATTGAGCATCTTTTCATGTGCTTTTTGGCCATCCATATGTCTTCTTTGGAGAAATGTCTGTTTAGATCTTCTGCCCATTTTTTGATTGGGTTGTTTGTTTTTTTTACGTAGAGCCGCATGAGCTGTTTGTGTATTTTGGAGATTAATCCTTGTCGATTCCTTCATTTGCAAATATTTTCTCCCATTCTGTGGGTTGTCTTTTCGTTTTGTTTATGGTTTCCTTTGCTGTGCAGAAGCCTTTAAGTTTAATTAGCTCCCATTTGTTTATTTTTGTTTTTATTTCTTTACTCTAGGAGATTAATCCAAAAATATATTGCTACAATTTATGTCAAAGAGTATTCTGTCTACATTTTCCTCTAAGAGTTTTATAGTGTCCAGCCTTATATATAGGTCTTGATCCATTTCGAGTTTATTTTTGTGTATGGTGTTAGAAAATGTTCTAGTTTCATTCTTCTACCTGTAACTGTCCAATTTTCCCAGCGCCACTTATTGAAGAGACTGTTTTTTCTCCATTGTATATTCTCGCCTCCTTTGTTGTAGATTAATTGGCCATAGGTGTGTGAGTTTATTTCTGGGCTTTCTTTCCTGTTCCATTGATCTATATTTCTGTTTTTTGTGCCAGTACCATACTGTTTTGATGACTGTAGCTTTGTAGTATAGTCTGAAGTCAGGGTGTCTGATTCCTCCAGCTCTGTCCAAATCACTCTTCTTTAAAACCAATCTCCAACACATCTCCCCTATGAAGATTACATGGAACAGAGAGGTAACTATTTACCCTCAACAAATAACATTCTGCCATTTTAAAGAAAAAAAAATGCACATTGAAACAGGGATTCTGGTCCACAACGGCTAATGATTGAGAGAAAAACTTCCCTAAATTTCCTTAAAATTGTGGGTGAAATCAAACTTGGTCAAAAGGAGCTGCTGTCTCCCAAATGCAAATGGTCCTAGCTGTCCCCTTCCAGGATATCACTTAAGAGAGCAAGAAGACCTCTTCCCCAATTCAGACAGATGAGATCTCAAAGATCATACTCTGATGCTACAGATCACATTCAAGAGATCCC